CACTCTCCCAGTCCCATATGGTACAGCAGATCCTTCAGAGGTTCAATCTCAAGTTCTCCTCAGCATAGCCCACCCCTCTGCCTGTGGATCACAAGCTCCCTGCTCCTGTTCCGGCTGAGCTGGCCGAGCCTAATGCTCCATATGCAAAGCTGGTAGTGTGCCTCATGTACATGATAATGTGCCTTCGACCAGTTCTAGCGTACCCTCTCAGTATTGTTGCTTGCTTTGTTGCAACAGGCAGGCACCAACTAGTCTCCGGTCGGCTGCCAAGAGGGTACTGCGGTATCTGGCGAATACATAAGGAGTGGGGCTTGTAGTAGGAGGATGGGAGCAAGTGATGCTTACTGGACACAGAGACGCTTCGTAGGCTGACAACTTGGAGACACTCAGGTCCTCACAGGGCTACTATTCTAGTCTTGGTGCTGGTGCTGTCTCGTGGAGGTCCACTAGGTCGTCGTCTATAGCTTAGTCCAGTTGTGAGGCAGAGATCTACGCTAGGACCATGGCCACTCAGGAGCTCCACTGGCTAACGTTCTTGCTCACTGACTTAGGTGAGCAGCATAGGTATGCCCCGGCCGTGTTTGCTGGCAACAGGGCCATGATCCTTCTATGTCAGGAAGCTTGACTAGAGGGCATGGCAAAGCACAAGCTGTGGTACTTCCTGCTGCGTGAGTTGCAGCTGCGCAGTCAGGCTCGTGTAGTATGGGTGGCCTCAGAGGCCAACACTGCTGATATCTTCACCAAGGCGCTAGTGCCTCGTGACCATTAGGGGTTCTGTACTCAGCTTGGTCTAGTCTCCATAGCAGCTCCTTTCCTTGTATCTTGATATATGCTATACCTGTTTGTACTTGATCTTCTATACGTGCCTGTCTTGCTACACTTGCTAACTGGCCTTATGGCCTTTTGTTTTAGTGGTCAAACTTATAGTGGTGCTCTGAGTTGTCTTGTTACCTTCACCAGAAGCCAAACTAGTAGTGCTGCCTTGGTTTGTTATGCCTTGGTATAAATTGCCACTGTATAGGCTAGGGGGTGTGTCAACAAATATATATTTATATCTAGTTAGGTTAGCTATATTTTTATAACCTAGCTAGGTCAGCTCTTAGAGGGGACAACTCATTGTACTTGTATCTCCCCTCCCCTCTTCCTAGTCAACTTTTCTCTCGTAATTCAGGCATGAACATGGTAGGTAGTGTTGAAAATAATGAAGTTTAGAATCAAGCATTTTAGGAGTATCAAGCACTGTACAATACACGTGTAAGGTAACATCGAAGACAAGACGAATAAGTTGTAGTACAGTACTCGTTGTCAGTTGAGAAAAACAGCTAAAACTTCAGCTGAACAGTAACCACTCATCTAGAATAACGTGGCGCTTTGCACCTTGGTTTTAGAGCACGTTCCTACGAGCCTCATATCAGACTCGTCCTTATAAGCCTCGCAACATTTGCCCGAGTGTCGTGAATTCCAAGTGCTTAAATTCTGCAGCCCATATTACAGGGCGCGGCCCAAACGGAATGCGTTTGAAAGTACGCTTTCCTGAGGGTCGAGAGGGGTAAGGTGACTCTCGTCACTCTGGGGTTGCTTTCAAGTTTATTGTGCCATATTAAACTAAGGTAGCTAGGAACGGTAGGAAGCCATAGAAATGGCAAGAGGTTTTAGGCTAGGAAAGTTGAGGAGAGAAAAGGTGGAAAGAATGGAAGAGAGAGGGATACAAGGAGGGGGGGTTGTACCCTCTACAGTAGGTTTCAGTAACACCTACCAAGCCTACCAATTATATAACAAAATATATAATTTAACACGCCATGCATTCTGGAACTTCGTGGGCCGTGCCTTTTTTGGCCGCCCGTTCTCATGCAGATTTTCATATGACGGCCCTCAAGCCAATTATTCCCCTAGCGGAGAACCAGTGGTTCGAAATTAATCTCAACCGTCGAACACTTTGCTGGCAAATCTTACGGTCCACGAACCATGTAAAATTTGCGAGAAGTAACGCTGTCGCGATTTTCATTAGTGTTTCGCAGAACCCCTGGCCCATAGTTTATATGCAGTGAGTTTGAGCAATTTGGGCCGTGGATTTTAACAGTTCTAATTTGCATTGAATCACATCGCGTCAAGCTCGCACTACTCGCTATGATACATCATTCACTCTCTACCAAAGATCCATGGGCTGCACTCAGCCCAATATGGATGAGAGCTAGTTAGAGACTAGGTTCACGCTACAAACTTTGTCATTGTGTTGATACTTAAGTTCGGCCGATAAACTTAATCTCTCGGAAAATTGTTGCAGGCGCCACTTCCGGTACCACTGTGCAATGTGCTGTCGAACGGCTCCCAAGTATCTTGTCTAGTTTGGAATATTCAGAGCCGTAATTGCTTATCGCCGAGCCTAAATAAGGAGTCAAGCCTTATCAATGAGGCTTCCAAACCACGGTGGCTGCAGAACCAGGCCTTCAGGAAAATTACAGCCATGGACTGTCCATGATATCTTTCATATTTTCGTGGACACGTCCTACTTTCATGGACAGCACATCAAACTTTTGCTTCTCCCGTGGACTCGGTCCATACTTTCGTGGACAGTGGGCATACTTCCATGGATACGCGCGAAATTGCAGTTAAAAAAGCGTAATTGAGCCCTACACATTGTGACGGGCGGAAAAACAAAACCGCCAAAATCAGGACCGTGGCAAAGGGTCGCAAGCTACAGTATCCGCAACCAGCCAGGTCAGAAAGCTGTTTCGCGTAAATCTAAGATATCTTGAAGTGACGCTCAAAATCCATTCTAGAGACAGTAACATACGAGCTACAGTCGACACCAGTGTGTATCAGCTGCAGTGGGCTAAATCTCGTCATTAAACCAGATAGCAATACCTCACCTGAAATCCAATCTATTAACATAAGGAATGTATATATAGCTCTCGGAATACGAGTTAATCATAATTAAACCCCTTGAAAAATATCTCTATGGTCAATGTAAAAACTTTTATGTGTAATTAGAATAATGATCCCATCAAAAAATAAGCATTACAACCAGTATATATACTATTAAATCTGGTTCTTTTATCTAAAAATCCATTATATGCCATGTATATTAATAATAGTATTAAAGTATGAATTCGAATGTGAAGTTTTTTGAAAGGATAATAAAACAATATCAGAAACTCGTTTAGTGTTTATATTGGTAAAAACGAAAATGAATGGAAACAGATGAAGTACGAAATCTAAACAGTGTGCGTATGATGGAGGCTCTTATGGATTAAGTAATGTTCAAACACCCATTTTTCGCCTTGAAGCGTGGATGCGTGACTGTATTTCTCAAGCGCAGTAGTGTACTCGCCTTTATGTTTGAGAAATTGTAACTACACACGGTGTCCGCAAAGTGCCTTGCCCAAAACAAATCCCAATTGCCCTCTCTCGCCCAATAACAGAAGTTTACGGGCAGTATCCGTTTCGAGAGAGTCCCCCGCGCCGGCTACTGTGCTGAGTCATCATGACAGCGGCGATGAACATGCGGACAGCGACGAAGCAGTTGCAGCCTTCTGGTTTTCGCCACATATTTTCGGACGGCGTCGCGAAGGCGGTTTGTCCAGGCCCAAATGGCCTTTCGCGTTTTTCGCGAAGCCGCGAAGGACATGAGGGCAATGGAAATCAACGGAACACCGCAAACGGGAAACGTCTCGATGACTCAGCATGGCATGACCCCTAGGAAACTGACTGAACTAGAGCCTTATACGGTCGAAACAACTGCACACTTAACGAAGCCGCACAAATTGGGACCAAATATCATGTTCGTGAGCTGTTGGTTGACCTAATGAAACAGCACTTGGGGTTGTTTCTGTTCGTCACAGCGTAACCGTGGTTAGATATGCAATCTGAACTCTGCCACCTGAACCTTCCCCTATTGCGACAAAAAGGTTACCAACGTGCTCACCCTGAATCCCTTTCTTCTAGCAGCGAAAGCGGGCGAAATACCAATTCGACAGAAGCCCCCGCGGCTCAAAAAAGTAGCGTTTTTCTCTCGGGCTCAGGCTGTACCACTTCCATGATTGTGGCATGCTTCTTTGGGTTTGGTATGGAGGAACTGTAGCTCACGACGGTTTGCGACGCACTCTGTTTCTGTTTTTAATTTATTTTTCCGCCCGTCACAACGTGTACAGTTCTTATTACGTTTTTTTACTGCAATTTCGAGTGTGTCCATGCAAGTATGCCCGCTGTCCACGAAAGTATGGACCGAGTCCTTGGGAGAAGCAAAAGTTTGATGTGCAGTCCATGAAAGTAGGGTCTGTCCATGAAAGTATGAAAGATTTCGTGGACAGTCCAGGCCTTCACGCTTTTCGGACACACCCTAAGGGTGTTGCCTGGCAGGTGTCAGTCTTGGTTCCAGCCACTCTGACAACCGTGGGCAGTTTTGTCTTTTCATGCCAGGTTTTGCTGGATTCGCTGACGCTAGGTTCCAGTCACAAAGCTCTGACATCCGCCAGAAATACGTCATAACTGAAATGGAGGTGGAAAGGAGGAAGAGAAGTGAGGCCTGTTGCACCACATTCAACCACCCACCAAACCAAACTGTGGCCCATGCCTGAGGGCGAACTCAAACCACTTCAACGAGAACAAACCGTTCAACCTATTTTCTATCCTCTGACTGTTGACTCGTGGAGCATGCTGATTTCAACGTCAGCCATTTCGTCAAAGGTAACCCTTTCTCGTCAGACCTTTCGCCAACGGTTTTTGTCGTACATGGTGTCTCTGAGGCAGCAGCACCAAAACAAGCGACCCACCCATGATTGGGAACGGTAAGAGCGTGTCCAGCGCGTACGGTTTCAATTCACCTGAGACGGTTTATTGTGTGCTCGGTGGTCAAACGTGGTGAAGCGGTTGATCGCACCTGACCGCGATACATTCTACTGAACCGTGACCCGCGAATTGTGAACGCACCCGCTGGACACTCCCTAAACACTGCTAGCCAATAGGTTCTGATTTTCGGGTGGTTCAGAACCTGATGGTGGGGTCGTGTTGCTGAGAGACGTAACCCAGTTGCAGCTTGGCAATCAAGTCTGTTACATGGCGCATACAATAGGCTAGCAGCGAGGCTCGAGTCTTTGACATCGCGTTGTGAGCCGAAGCGTGCGTGCTGGAGAGTTTAGTCCGATTGTGCCTTAGCGTGTTTCCGCTTTTCGACCGCATTTCGTCCGACTGCGAGCAGCATCCGTCGCCAGTAACCTTCGTTTAGCACTCGCTTCTCGCACATATCCTTCGCACACCGCTCGCATGTGTCGCCCACACGTCGCACGGTGTCGCCGACGGCGCCAGACACAGCGCGTGGCGAAAACCTCGTGCTTGCTGCTGTTGCTCGCTGTGCTTTCAGCCTGGCCGCAGAATGCGGCGTCTCTCGCGGTCAGCCTGCCACGTGGCTTCGCCACGCCGCAGCAGCAGCAAGCAGAGCGTGAGCTGTCCCCTCCCTGCCTTGCTCCGATATCCTCCCCGTTATCCTCGTTAGTACAGCCAGAAACAAGCACACTCAGTTCCACCATTCACAACCAACTAGTCAGCATGGCCGTTGGGCTGCTCTCGTGCGGTCGGGTCGGTAGCCCCGTCGGACGAGTGGGCTGTTGCGCATGCCGTGGCTTGTCGCGCCATCCTGCGACCGTCGCAGTCATGCCCAAAGTCGTTTCCCTTCCACAACTCAATCACACCCTCCCTCCTTCCTTCCTCCACATCCTGCGCGCACCGCCGAGAAAAGAGTCAAAATTCGCAGAGGTTGCGTGTCGAGGGACTTTGGAATGCATCCCCTCCATCCCGTTCGCGCCTCGATGCTGCCACCTCGTCTTTCGCTTCCCGCCCAGCCTCGCATTCCTCGGCATCCTTTGAGCACACTAGAAAAGGCATGCTCTTTACAACGAGAAAGCCAGGCGGAGTGAGGGGCTGGGCTGGGGGGCAAGTGAGTGGCTTTTCACGCTCCCTTCGTCCTCCTGCTCTCTGCGCGTGGCAGCCCCTTGACACTCCCCAAGGCCTCGCTTTGTTTCGGAACCCTCTTTTCCCTCCCATTCAGGGGCAGCGCCGCTGGCGTTGGGGGAGGCTGTGAGTCGGAGAGAGCGACTGAGGGCGAGCGAGAGCCATGCTTTGAGGCGCATGAAACCGTTTTCCCGTGCCATGCCCCTCTGTCCACCGCCCTTCCCACCCCGCGCCCGACCTACTCAGGCACGGCGCGGCTGGCGTTCGGAGGGGCGATGGGGCGGAGTGAGGGGCTGAGGGCGGGCGGGTGGGCTTCTCATCACCTCTTGTCCACCCCCCCAAACCCCTTCCCCTTCCCCCCCTCTCCCCCCCTCTCCCCCCCTCTCCCCCCCTCTCCCCCCCCCCACCCGTCCCCTTACGCACCAACAGGCACAGCGCTGCTGGAGTTCTGGGAGGCGATGGGGCGCAGTGAGGGGCTGATGTGGAGCGGGTGGGGGAACTCGTCCCTGCCGTGCGCCCCCACGTTGCCCTCGTGGCCGGGCGTGCACTGCAGCACCACGGGGCACGTGGACGCCATGTGAGTGGGGCTGTGGACGGCATGTGAGTGCCATCCCATGCCATCCCATGCCATCCCATGCCATCCCATGCCATCCCATGCCATCCCATGCCATCCCATGCCATCCCATGCCATCCCATGCCATCCCATGCCATCCCATGCCATCCCATGCCATCCCATGCCATCCCATGCCATCCCATGCCATCCCATGCCATCCCATGCCATCCCATGCCTTCCCATCCCATCCCATCCCATCCCATCCCATCCCATCCCATCCCATGCCATCCCATCCCGCATCAACCCATGCCATGCCATCCCATCCCGCATCAACCCATGCCATGCCATCCCATCCCGCATCAACCCATGCCATGCCATCCCATCCCGCATCAACCCATGCCATGCCATCCCATCCCGCATCAACCCATGCCATGCCATCCCATCCCACATCAACCCATGCCATGCCATCCCATCCCGCATCAACCCATGCCATGCCATCCCATCCCGCATCAACCCATGCCATGCCATCCCATCCCGCATCAACCCATGCCATGCCATCCCATCCCGCATCAACCCATGCCATGCCATCCCATCCCGCATCAACCCATGCCATGCCATCCCATCCCGCATCAACCCATGCCATGCCATCCCATCCCGCATCAACCCATGCCATGCCATCCCATCCCGCATCAACCCATGCCATGCCATCCCATCCCACATCAACCCATGCCATGCCATCCCATCCCGCATCAACCCATGCCATGCCATCCCATCCCGCATCAACCCATGCCATGCCATCCCATCCCGCATCAACCCATGCCATGCCATCCCATCCCGCATCAACCCATGCCATGCCATCCCATCCCGCATCAACCCATGCCATGCCATCCCATCCCACATCAACCCATGCCATGGTAACAGAGAGCTGTTTTTCAGGGGGGCCAAGGCCGGCCCCCAGAGGCGGCAGCCGCGGCAGGGGCAGGTGGCCCGGGCCGCCACGAGAGTCACAGGCGCTCCTTGGTGCCGCTGTTGGCTACTCTCTCTCTCACCCCATCCCAACACATCCCACCCCTATCCACCCCATTTCACCCCATTCCATTCCACCCTGTCCCACCTCACCCCACCCCATGCCACCCCACCCCATGGCATGCCAGAGAGCTGCGTTTCGTGGGAGCAGGGTCCCCGCAGAAGCAGAAGCTGCAGGGGCAGGTGCCGTGGGGGGCCATGACTGCGCTCACCGCGCTCACTGCACTCGACCTGACCTTCAATCATGCCACCGGGCCGGTCGTGACTCCTGCTGCCACCGCCTTCACTGCCCTGCAAGCACTGTGAGCTCTCTAGCCCCAAGTCCCTGCGAGCATAGTAAGCTTTAAGTCACCCGCCTCACTGCTCTGGACCTCGGCGTCAATCATGCCACCGGGCCTGTTGTTACTCCTGCTGCCACTGCCTTCACTGCCCTGTAAGCACTGTGAGCACTTGAGCCTCTGTTATGTCTTCACTCCCTGTACAGCGCCGGCCTCACTGCTTGTCATCTCAGCTTCAGTGACGCCGCTGGGGCTGTTGTGACCAGGGTTTAAAAAACCGCCGTTTTTTTCCCAGAAACTAGCGTTTAAAATGCTCTCGAAAAAAACGACCGTCTAAAACGTAAAAAAACGGTTCATTCTGGACTTCGCGTTTTGGTGCAAAAAAGCGACTTTTTTTTTCGGCCGGTTTTTTCGTATCGCCATGTAATTTTGGTGACATGTAATTGTATATGCGATCTTGGTCGCGTATTGTGGATGGGTAATGAAATGTGGGTTCGATGTCTAACCGTGGCGCGAAACGAACCCAATCTCTAGGCGCTAGAGGCTTTTTTTTCTCGCAAATCCTGTCCAATCCCGTTACAAGAAGCTGCAGCAGAGTGTGGCATTGACTAGGACTCGTTGGGGGTTATCAGGGGGAGAAATAGGGAAGGGAGTGCGGACCTTGGGAAAGGGAAGAAGGGAGCAAAGAAGTCCACCGGCCGGGTCTAGGAAGGGGAAGGAGGAGAAGTGTTGGGAAGATGAGCGTGAAGTGGAGGCTGAGGATGCAAGTGACAATGATCCCAATGACCACATAATGGGGACCAAGCCATGGGATCAGAGTGACAGCGGTGAGAGAGTGTTGAGGAAGAACTTTCAGAATCTGACAAGTGAGTTTCCCTTGCAATAAGGAGTGTTTAGCTAGCTTGATGACTACCAATAATGGGAATGATGTTGTACGTAACCCCGTTGTTTTCTAAATCTGACCGAAATAACGTACCGTAACCAACACTCACTGCCGTCACTGCCGTCACTGCACCTTGGTTGTGACTCCTGCCTTCACTGCCGTCACTGCCGTCACTGCCTTCACTGCCGTCACTGCCGTCACTGCCTTCACTGCCTTCACTGCCGTCACTGCCTTCACTCCATTTGGCGCGTTTTTGGGTTGTTCCCCCCCCCCCCCCCCCCTTGCTGCCGCGATTGCGCGCCGCGATGTTTTCGACATCGCGCGCGATTTTTTTTTAATCGCAGATCACATTTAAATCGTTTTTTTTTTGTGCGCGATTAAATACGATTTAATTCAATCGCGCGATAAAAAATAAATGGCATCGCGCGATTAACCAAAAAAAAAAATTTGCCATCGCAAAAATACGATTAAACGCGATGCGATTTGTTTTTAACCATGTCTACCCTGCAAGCCCTGCAAGCCCTGCCAGCCCTGCCAGCCCTGCAAGCTGGTGATGCAATGCCTTGTAAGTCCGCCGCCACCTCCCACCACCTCCCACCACCTCCCACCATCTCCCGCCACCTCCCACCACCTCCTGCCACCTACCACCACCTTCACTACTCCCCTGTGACTCTCTCCTCTCCTTCCACCCATTGTTCCCTCCCCTCACCCCCTCACCCCCCCCCCTCCCAGGCTGCTGTCCTACAACAAGCTCACTGGCTCCATCCCTGCGGTCCTGGGCTCGCTCCCCTCGCTGCAGACACTGTGAGTGCTCTTCTGGGCGCGCTGCCTTCCCTGCAGTCACTGTGCGTGTGACGATTACAACGGGCATGCTTTTTGTTCCTTTTCAGTGCTTTTTTGTCAAAGAAGATTATAGCAGGCATGCGTTTATACCTTCTCACTGCATCTCTCCTCTCTCCCACCCATCAACATCGTCCCTTGTGCCTCTCCTCTGAACCTCCTCTCTTTCGCCCCCTGTTTGGTAGGGAGCCTTCAATTGCCCCCTGGTAGGTAGGGAGCCCTTAATCGTGTTCTACTGCCGCCTTGCGGGCCGCAGCTTGTCGCACGGCACTGCGTCTCCATCAAAGGAGAGAGCCGCTCTTTAGAGCCCGGGTTCATGCCCACTGCCCACTGCCCACTGCCCACTGCCCACTGCCCGCTGCCCACTGCCCACTGCCCACTGCCCGCTGCCCACTGCCCACTGCCCACTGCCCGCTGCCCACTGCCCACTGCCCACTGCCCACTGCCCACTGCCCACTGCCCACTGCCCACTGCCCACTGCCCACTGCCCACTGCCCACTGCCCACTGCCCACTGCCCACTGCCCACTGCCCACTGCCCACTGCCCACTGCCCACTGCCCACTGCCCACTGCCCACTGCCCACTGCCCACTGCCCACTGCCCACTGCCCACTGCCCACTGCCCACTGCCCACTGCCCACTGCCCACTGCCCACTGCCCACTGCCCACTGCCCACTGCCCACTGCCCACTGCCCACTGCCCACTGCCCACTGCCCACTGCCCACTGCCCACTGCCCACTGCCCACTGCCCACTGCCCACTGCCCACTGCCCACTGCCCACTGCCCACTGCCCACTGCCCACTGCCCACTGCCCGCTGCCCGCAGCTTCTGAGTCGACTCAAAAGCCACTCTTTGGAGCTGTGGTGCATGGCCACCGCCCTCCGCTGCCCCCCATATTCTACACAACCCCCGCCCCTCACACTTCCCCCCTACCCTACCAACCCCCCCGCCCCTCACACTTCCCCCCAACCAACCCCCCCGCCCCTCACACTTCCCCACCTCTCTTCAGCGACCTGAGCGACAACCGGCTCAGTGGCTCTCTCCCCAGTAGTATTGGCTTGCTGTCCGCCCTGCAATCGCTGTGAGTGCTGAACGGCGCTCAACCCCGCCCCACTAGCCCCCGCCTCTCTATACAAGGACAATTATCTCTTTGGCTCTTTGCTCATGCCTACATTCTAGTATTAGATTTACCCAATGAGGAATGTTGACCTAATCTGCTCTGCACCCAAGACAATCAGGCTAGTATAATCCATTCAACTCCGTCAGCCCACCTCCCCGTGTTCCTCCCCGTGTTCCTCCCCTGCCCCATCAACCCATCTCCCCATACCCCCCTTCCCTCCACCCCCCATGTCCCCACTTCCCCCTCCCCCCCCTCCCTTCCCCCCCAGCCACATCTCAGCCAGCAACCTCACGGGCTCGCTGCCCGCCTCTCTGTCGCGCCTGTCCTCGCTGGAATCGGTGATTCTGGGCCAGAACCAGCTCCGAGGGTCCCTCCCTGCCAACCTCTCTGTTCTCACCGCCCTCAAGCAGCTGTGAGTACTCTGGTCTCACTCTCGCCGCCCTCAAGCAGCTGTGAGTACTCTGGTCTCACTCTCGCCGCCCTCAAGCAGCTGTGAGTACTCTGGTCTCACTCTCGCCGCCCTCAAGCAGCTGTGAGTGCTCTGGTCTCACTCTCGCCGCCCTCAAGCAGCTGTGAGTGCTCTGTCCTCACTCTCGCCGCCCTCACACAGTACCTCTGATACTATCAGTGTTGGTAATGCTCACACTCCCGCCCTCCGGTCCCCTTCCCTCCAGCCCCTCTGCTCTCACCTCCCTACGGAACACCCTTGGGGTGCCATGGTCTTTACGTGGCAGAGCAACTGGTCATGCTTAGTAAGACGTTAGAGAAAAAAACTCTTGCTTGAAACTCAGTGAAAAGGGTTGATGCTAAATGATGGGCTTTCAATGTGAAATTTTTTATGGTAAACTGCCTAGAGCACTTTGTGTCTCCATTTCTCCCTCCCCTGCCCCATCAACCCATCTCCCGTGCAGTGCTCTCATGGAGAACAGCCTCAACGGCTCCCTGCCTGCCTCTTGGGGTGCGCTGGCTTCCCTCACTGACCTGTGAGTGCCCTTCTGTTGTGGGCGTATGCTCTGCCCCTGCGTTGCACACATCTATGCAATCCCTTCCCTGCGGCCACTAAGTATCTCCTTCCCCGCTCTTGCGAGCCACACTTCACCCTCAACCTGCCCACCTCCCTCTCCCTGCCCACCTTCCCCCTGTCCACCTTCCCCCTGTCCACCTTCCCCCTGCCCACCTTCCCCCTGCCCACCTTCCCCCTGCCCATCTCCCCCCTGCCCACCTTCCCCCTGCCCACCTTCCCCCTGTCCACCTTCCCCCTGCCCACCTTCCCCCTGCCCACTTTCCCCCTGCCCACCTTCCCCCTGCCCACCTTCCCCCTGTCCACCTTCCCCCTGCCCACCGTCCCCCTGCCCACCGTCCCCATGCTCATCCCCCCGCCCTGTCTTTCCCCCACACGGGATGCCGTTACCGAAAGCCCTTGGCAGCACGGCGCCATCCTCTGAGCCCAACCTCGCAGCGCTGCTGCAGCTGCCACAGTGTCCCTCCCCATGCATGCCCCTCCTCACGCGTGCCCCTCCCCACACATGCCCCTCCCCACGCGTGCCCCTCCCCACGCGTACCCCTCCCCACGCGTGCCCCTCCTCACGCGTGCCCCCCTCCCCACGCGTGCCCCTCCCCACGCGTGCCCCCCACACGCGCCCCTCCTCTGCATGCTGTCAGCGAACGCCCTGAGACCGAGTGGCACTGTGGTGTCTGCATGGGCCATCCTCACATCGCTGCTGCAGCTCACACTGTCACGCATGCCCCGCCTCTCCCCGTGCTCTCACCTCACTCCCCTCCACTCGCAGCAAGCTGTCAGTGAGCTCCCTGAGTGGCACGGTGCCGTCTGCGTGAGCCAAACTCTCCTCCCTGGTGCAGTTGACAGAACCCTGCATTCCCCCCCTCGTGCTCTCACCCCACCTCACCCCATCCAGCAAGCTGTCAGTGAACTCCTTCAGTGGCACGGTGCCGTCCACCTGGGCCAGACTCACATCGCTGTGGGGGCTGGGGATCTCCAGCAACAAGCTCACGGGGCCCTTCCCTGCCTTCTTGCTCTCGCTCACGAAACTCACCGAGCTGTGAGTTGGTAGAAAGCTGCAAGCCCTGCTCGCGCATCAGCGCACTCACCTCTCCAGCAATGAGCGAGCTCACGGCGCGCTTCCCTGCATTCTTGCTCTCGCCACGGAACATGGATAAGGTGTGAGTCGGTGGGCAAAGTGCGAGTCGGTGGGCAAAGTGCGAGTCGGTGGAGAAAGAGGCAGGGATGTGTGTGGGCCCTAGAGCTCACATCAATGGTTCAGCTGGGCTCACATCAATGGTTCAGCTGGGCTCACATCAATGGTTCAGCTGGGCTCACATCAAAGGTGCACCTGGGCTCTCCAGTCACCAGCTCACAGGGCCCTTCCCTGCCTGCATTTTCTCGCTGCCGAATGTCTACAAACTGTGAGTTGATAGAGCAAGGTAGGGATTGCTGGAGAGAGGTGTTGAGAGGTATTGAGAGGTAGAGAGAGGTGTGTGCGGTATTGCAGCTGCGCCTATCCAGCAGGCAGCTACCGCAGAGAGCTGGATTTTGGTCCTAGTTGCGCTACCAGATACTGATGAAGCGTGAGTTGTGCGCAGGGCTTGCTGGTTAAGAATAAGCCTGTGGTCTATGTGGTACAAGGTGCAATCTCACCACTCTGACACCGGCCACTATCCTGTCGTCCCTGCCCCTACTTGCTTCCTGCCTGTCTGCCTGCCTGCCTGCCTGCCTGCCTGCCTGCCTGTCTGTCTGCCTGTTTGTCTGCCTGCCTGTCTGCCTGACTGCCTGTCTGCCTGCCTGTATGCCTGTCTGTCTGCCTGCCTGTGTGTCGGTCTCAATCCCTGCGGCTATCTGACCAGCAATCGCATGTATGGCGCCGTGCCTCCCATCATCTTTCTAATACAGGCTACTCATCTCTCCTTTCTGCCCCATATGTGCCTGCCTGCCTGCCTGCCTGCCTGCCTGCCTGCCTGCCTGCCTGCCTGCTTGCCTGCCTGCCCGCCTGCCTGCCTGCCTGCATGCCTGCGTGCCTTTCCATGCAGCTATCTGAGCAACAATCTCATGTATGGCCCTGTTCCGGCCAACATCACCGTTCCACCCAGCTTGAGAACATTGTGCGAGCTTGCTATGCGATGCCATGCCATCCCATGCCTTTCCATGCCATGATTTGGTGATGCACCCATGCCATCCATGCACCCATGCCATGCTTGCACCCATGCCATACATGCACCCATGCCACCCATGCCATCCATGCACCCATGCCATCCATGCACCCATGCCATCCATGCACCCATGCCATCCATGCACCCATGCCATGCATGCACCCATGCCATACATGCACCCATGCCATCCATGCACCCATGCCCTCTATGCACCCATGCTATCCATGTACCCGCGCTATCCATCCGTCCTACACATGGCAGTTCTCCCAAAATCCCTGCACCACCAAACCACTCACAGATCTCAATCCCAGAATATGCCTCTCCTCACTCGCATCCAACTGCCCACCAACTTTGATCTCCTGTTGCCCTTGTGTTTGCTCGCCCTCACCCTACGGCGAGTCACATGAATCTCACTTTCTTCTTACCCCCCCAATCGCCCCAATCGCCCACCCGCCAGTGAGATGGATTACAACTACTTCAACGGCTCCATCCCTGCAGGGCTGGACCAATCCAGTGCCACGTGAGTCAGAGTCAATAGCTGGGTAGGCTGGCAGGCTGGCAGGCAGGCAGGCAGGTGGGCGGGCGGGCTGGCGGGCCGGCGGACCAGCGCGCGGGCGTGCGGGCAGGCTGGCAGGCTGGTGGGCTGGCGGGCTGATAAGAGTGACAGTGTTGTACAGCCACATAGCAACCTGCTCTTGTGCTCTTGTGCTCTTGCTCTCGATTTTCCCCTTATCTTGGTACCGTCCACTCCCTCCCGCTCTGCTCTTCTCACCCCTCTTGCTCTGCCCACCCCTCCTTCTGCTCCACCCTTGTTCACTTCCCACATCCACCCATGCCCCGCTGCATGCGGCCCACACCACACCGCACCGCACTGCACCACCACACCACACCCCCCTCACCACACACACCATGCCCCACATGTCAGCTTGTCGGACAACTGTTTCAACGAGACGGGCAGCCACAACCAGAAGCAGGCCAACAGCTCCACGTGCAACATCTTCTACAACGTGCTCTACCCGCCCGCTCGTGCGTCCCGTTCCCCTCATGCACTCCTGCTTTCCTCTCCTGACTTCGTCTTCGGATTCTCTACCAGCGCTGCCCAGGCGAGGCCACGTGGCAAGGATTAGGTGATGCCACATGGAAAGGATTGAAGTGATGCCACGTGGAATGACTTGCAAGTCGGTCGACTTGGACGCAACCAGAAGCAGCCCAGCAGCACCATCTTCTACAGCGCGCACTACCCGGCAGCTCGGCTTGTGTGTCGGCCTCCCCTTCCCTCGCGTCATGAGTTCCTTTCTCTCGCCTGTTGAGTCGGTTGCAAGGCCATGGGAAGCACTGGGTCAGCACCGCTCCTGTTGTCTTCTGCCACCTGCTCTACCCGCCGCCTCCGCCTCGTATGCTTCCGCTCCTTCTGCAGGCTGTAAGACTGGTGCTGCCCGCACTGCTGCTTGCACTTCCCTTGTCAGATGTTTTAAAGTCAAATCAAAGCTTTCCCTCTATTCTTGCTCCCCCCCCCTCGATTCATGCAGCCCCAGCACCCCAGGAGGTGGTAGCCAAAACATACTCCTCCTTCCCAGTAGCATCAGTGGTGGTGCTGGTGGTTGTGGTGGTGGTGCTGGCATTGCAACTAAACTCTCTCGTTTCCGCTCGGTATCCTCTCTCCCCTTCCCCTCGCCTGCAGCCCCCGGACCCCCTGAGACGGTAACCGTTACATCTTCCTCCTTCCCAATAGCAGCAGTGGTGGTGCCGGTGGTGGTGGTGGTGCTGGTGCTGCTGCTGGCGCTGTTTCTATGGCACCGCTGGCGCTCGGAGCGGCTTGCAAGAATGCTGCGCAAGGAGATTGGTAGTGAGTGGGGGGTCCGGAGGGGGCAAAGAGAGGGAGTGAGTGGGGGGTCGGGAGGGGGCAAAGGGAGGGCTTGATGAACGGATTGTGGTGGTCTTGCTGGTGCTGCTGCTGGCGCTGTTGGCCAAAATGCTGCACAAAGAGATTGGTAGTGAGCGGGGGGATTGGGAGGGGGAAAAAGAGGGATCGATGGAAAGAGAGGGGTTGAGGTATTGAGTGTGGTCGTGCTGCTGCTGCTGGCGCTGCTTCTCTCGCACCACTGGCGGTCGGAGCGACTTGCACGGATGCTGCGCAAAGAGATTGGGAGTGAGTGGGGGGCGAGCAGACAGGGAGTGAGGAGGGGGGGAGGGGGCTGTGGAGGGTGGCGTGGGGGAGCAGGGGTGTTGCGTGCCACAAGGGTTGATGGCTATTGTGTGGTGATGCTGCCACTGTGCCTCTTGCCGTGTCGCCATTTCCCTCCTCCCGCTCCTCCCGTCCCCTGTGCTCCTCCCGTCCCCTGTGCTCCTCCCATCCCCTGTGCTCCTCCCGTCCCCTGTGCTCCTCCCGTCCCCTGTGCTCCTCCCGTCCCCTGTGCTCCATGCACGCAGATCACGCGTCCTCCTCCTGGCGGAGGTGCGGGGGCCATCAAGGACTGGCAGGCGACTGTTGCGGGGTCTCTAGCCCTCCCCTTCATTCAATAACCCCCCCTTCCCCTTTCCCCCCTTCCGCTTTCCCCCTTCCCCTTTCCCCCCTTCCCCTTTCCCCCCTTCCCCTTTCCCCCCTTCCGCTTTCCCCCTTCCCCTTTCCCCCCTTCCCCTTTCCCCCCTTCCCCTTTCCCCCCTTTCCCCTGTCAGGCAGCTCGCGCGTCTTCTCGTTGGCGGAGCTGCGGCGCGCCACCAAGGAGTGGCAGGCGGAGATCGGGCGCGGCGGGTATGGCAGCGTGTACAAGGCAGAGCTGCGGGACAAGACTGTGGTGGCTGTCAAGCGGCTCGACATGGTGGGTTTCAGTGCTGTGCTGTGCTGTGGTGTGGTATGGTGGGGTTGGTGGACTGATGAATGAGTGCGTGCATGTGCGAAGAGCAAGTGCGGCAGCAATTGCAAGGCAAGGCGGTGCTGAGGCACGAGACAGTGGTGGCAGTCGGCAGGCTGGACATGGCGCGTGATAGGGGGGGGTTGATGGGGCTGGAGCGAGTATGGGAGGGGTGGGTATGGCAGCGTGCGCAAGGCGGTGCTGAGGGACAAGACTGCGGCTGTGAAGCGACTGGACATGGTGGGTGATTGCATGTGGAGTGAGTAATGAGTGGGTGGGGCGGGTACGGTTGTTCTTGGAGACAAAACAGCGATGGCTGTGAACAGGGTGGGTGAGCTGAAGTGAGTGTGCGAGTGATATGGAGATAGGCCGGGGCAGTTACAAGCACTGTGTATAAGGCTGTTCTCACAGACACAACAGTGGTGCCTGTGAAGAGGTTGGCCATTGTGGGCGAGAGAGAGGGGTTGATGGGATACGAGTGAGTGGGGGAGATGCGGGCGTGGCAGCACGTACAGGGCGGTGCGGAGGGAGAGACAGGACAGGCTGGGCTTTTGCGCTGTGCTTTTTGAGCACGTGTCGGACCAGGGCGACCGGGAGTTCGTTCGTGAGGTGGAGCTGCTATCAGGAAGGCACCACCAGCACCTGATGAATCCGCTGGGCTGCTACCTTTCTTCTCTTGTGCCTCCCTCGGACAACCAACTGTGGCAGGTGTCGGACCAGGGCGACCGGGAGTTCATCCGCGAGGTGGAGCTGCTGTCGCGCGTGCACCACCGCCACCTCGTCAACCTGCTTGGCTTCTGCGCCGAGAAGGAGGAGCGCGCGCTGGTGTACGAGTACATGGGGCTGGGCTCGCTGTTCGACCATCTGCATGGTGAGAGTGTAATGTATGGGATTCTATGGTGTGTGGTGAGGAGATTAGATCGAAAGAGGAGCGAGTGCTGGTGTATGAGTACATGGGGCTGGGCTTGCTCTTGACCACCTGCACGGCGAAAGTATTGGTTCCGTGGATGCATGATGAGGGTGCGCAAGGAAGGAGAGGGTGAGAAGGAGGAGCAGGCACTGGTGTACGAGTACATGGGGCTCGGCTCACTGTTGGACCATCTGCACAACGAGTATCTGGAGTGTTCGACTTACTCCTCCCACTCCGCTGCATCCCGTCACCCTCTCCCCGTGCCCCGCCTCCCGTCGTTCTCTCCCACTCCCCCCAAGCCCCACCCCAAAAGAAGCCCCTCTCTCGTGATCCGCGCGCATCAACATTGCCATTCGCGAGGCGCTTCCTGCCTTTCCCCACTCCTCGTTTCCTCATGCTCCCCCTGTCACCCGCCCCCCTGTCACCCGCCGCCATGTCACCGGCTCCCCCCAGGCCCCAGGGCGAAGGAGGCCGCGCTCTCGTGGGACTCGCGCATCAAGATCGCCATCCACGTGGCGCTGGGCATCGACTATCTGCACTATGGCGCCGATCCGCCGCTCATCCACCGGTGAGGCTTGACCTTCCCACCATCCACCGGTGAGCCTTTGATCTCCCCACCATATGTCGAGCCCCCCCATGCCATCCACGTGGCACTGGGAATCGACTGGCTGTGAGGCTGGACCTCCTAACTGCTCACGGTCAGGATGTGAGGAGTTGACAACCCTCCTCTCCACCCCTCCATCCACGTGGCTCTGGGCATGGACTTTACGGCGCCGCCCGATTCACCAGTGAGCCTTTGCGAGGGCTGGAGGCTTTTCAACACCCCACATAATGCCGCTGCTGGTTCCCACTGCTGCTGCCGATGACGCACCTCTAAGCCCCTCTGCCATTCTCTCCACTCTGTCCCCCCACAGCGACATCAAGTCTGGCATCATCGTGCTGTCAGAAGACAGCTTGGCCAAGGTGGCGGACTTCGGGCTGTGCAAGGAAGTGCCGGTGGACGTGACGCCAGACGGCCAGCTGCAGCTGCCGCCGCTCCCCGCTTCTGGTGTCAGAGTCGTCACTCCAAGCACTCCCAACCAAACCCCTCTGCCATTCTCTCCCCTTTGTCCCCCACAGCGACATCAAATCCGGCAATATTTTGCTCTCAGAGGACGGCCTGGCCAAGGTGGCGGACTTCGGCCTGTGCAAGGAAGTGCCGGTGGATGTGACTCCGGACGGCCAGCCGCAGCTGCTGCCGCCCACCACGGCGGTGCGGGGGTCGTTTGGGTACCTGGACCCTGAGTACGTGAGCACGTCGCTGCTGACGGACAAGAGCGACGTGTACAGCTATGGCGTCGTGCTGCTGGAACTGCTGTCAGGGAAATACGCCATCCACGAGAAACAGCCGCTTGCTTACTGGGTAAGATGAATGGGTGGGGTTTGAGTCAAGTCTAGTGTTGTGCATGACGCCACGTCTGTCCCTGTGTCTCCCCAACCCTCCCTTCCCTCACCAGGCCTAAGAGTATCGGATGGACAGCGAGAGCCTGACAGGGCTGCTGGACGTTGTTAAAGGCTGCAGCATTTCCTCGTCCCTCCCCACCCCCCCCTGCCCCCGCCAGGCGGAGGAGTACCTGATGGACAGCGAACGCCTCACAGAGCTGCTGGACCCGGCTCTGGGGAGCGACTACGACCTGCATGAGGCGCAGATACTGTGCGACATTGCCAGGAGCTGCGTGCAGGTGAGAGAAAGCAGCGTGTGTGCAACGGCTGAGAGGCATGTGTGTACAGGCATACAGGCCTGTGTGTGGGGGCATAGAAGCATGTGTGTACAGGCTCACAGGCATGTGTGTACAGGCTCACAGGCATGCGTGTACAGGCTCACAGGCATGCTTGTACAGGCTCACAGGCATGCTTGTACAGGCTACAGAGTACCTTGGAACATTTGGTTTAGAGAACATCGCTGGATCCAGCAAGGGCATTGGGGCAGATCAACAAGTGAGGTGCATGGCAAGAGGTCCATGATTGTGTGCTTACCGCGCTGCGATTGTCGCTGATCTCCTTTGGCTTCACTATAATCTCCTCAACTCCACTTTGGCTTCCCCGCCCTTCTCCAGAATCGCCCTGGTGGCCGATCGTCTATCCCTGACATGGCTTAATCTACTCTCCCACCACCTCTTGCCCCTTGTCTCCCCACCACCCCTTATCGCCCCACCCCGCTTCCCCTTTTCAGGACCGCTCGGCCGACAGGCCAGCGATAAGGGACGTGGCGCAGGCGCTGGTGGAGCATCTGGGGCGCGTGGTGGTGATGCCGTCCTCCTCCACCGCGTCCTCCGAGTGCAGCTACGGCTACACCTACGATGACTACAGCCACGCCTCGCAGCAACCTTTCTTCTCGGGCAGCCTGCCCGACACCTCGGGCAGCTACACGACGGATTCGCCGGGGAATCCGTCTGTGGGGGCGGCAAATGGGAAGCCAGGGAATGGAGGTGCGGGCGAGGGGTTTACATTCAGGAACTGCCAGTCGCAGCCGATCATCATTGCGGGCGTGGTCAGGGGAGAGGGGGAGAATGGTGAGGGGGGAGGGGAGGGGGAGGGAGGAGCAGGGAGTGTGCAGATGTCAACAGGTGTGCATGGCAACAGGCCTCCTGTGCCCATTGGCGCGCATGAGGGCACAGTGTAAGGGGGTTGGAGGAGCGTTACGTGTAATTTACTACTATGGGGTTACGATGTGGTGGGAAGATGTGGCAAGGGGTGGTGCATGGCATTGTGCAATAAGGCTGGCTGACTGGACAGCAGGGACTGAGTTGCTGCCATGTGCATGCCAATGGGTACGACATGGAATGGAATAAGTGTCTTTTTTTAGGTGCCATAGGTACCGGTAGGTAGGTGAGGCGTTTGTGCTTGGAGAATGCTGTTGGTCTGAGTTGTGCTTGCCTCCCAACTCCAAGCCATTTTCCTTCCCAATTTTTCCATTTTGTACCTGGAATTTTCGTATATTTCAATAGGATGCATTGTTGTTAAATGGTATCAGTGACACGGTCTCTTGTAGGACTGACGTGAGTGTGTGATCTCATTCAATGTGCTCATTTTATGGAAGTGAGAAATCCTAATACATTCATCCATCCTAGCAGCATCAATTGCTAAGGTACACTTTTCCTCCAGGTTTGACTCGCCACCAACCTAACCTTTTTCGTGCGAACTGCACAGCTTTCGCTGACGTAATATTCGCTGTCTTCTTGTCGTCTTTCTTTGCCCCACCTGTCGCATCTTCGCCTCAGCTCAGATTTGAAGACCGAACAGTATTTGACATGGCAGCCCTCCATGATTTCTCGCCTGATGCCACCACAGGCCGTATGGCTGGACACAAGAACCAGAGCGGCCATTGTAGACCGTTTGATGACAGTACCATACTGTACCGTATGGCACCGCTCTGATGTAATGGATGATGCAATCATGACTGGGATTCACAATTCATTCGCAGGGAGGGAAGAAGGGATGTCCTTTTCTGAGCAGACCGGAATCCCTGAAGCAGCAGCAGCCGCTGCTGTTACTGCTGCGCGCCTGAGGTGCCAGCTCTGCCCTCATCCCTCCACGCATGTCCCCGCAGGTGTGCCGTGGAATGCCTCGCTACAAGATCCTCCCCTCTTCGTTTTCTCACCAACCTCGCGAAAGAGACTACGGGTGAGTGCCGCGACGAGGCGTAAGTGACGCTCCGGCAAGAGGCTGGTGCGCCGAGCTGGAACAACCAGAGGGGGGAGGAGAACAGCACAGTGCACTTGAGGTCAAAACAGCGAAGATGCGATTCGAGGGCAGGAGGCAGTTCACGGGAGGAAGAGTCAGGCGCCTCCTCTGGGTAATGCGGGGGAAGGGACGGAGGAAATTCGCTTTCTGGTCTGGTCGGTCATCGGGGGGAGTCTGCGACTTCTCCTGAAAGCACACGGCGGGCACTGGGTGGGACGAGCAGCACCCTTGGGATTTCTCCTGAGATGAGCGCAGCGGATGCGGCTGTCGCGCTGCGCGAGATTCTTGATTCGAGGCGGAATTAGTGGCACACTTGCTGCTTCCGGGCCCTTACATTTCTTCTGCTCCCTTACCTGTCCCAACGTTTTTACTCCCCTGCTAGCTCCTCTTCTCGCTGGTCCACAATCCGCGCGTTTCTCACTCTTCCAGAGTCACACTGTAGTACCGCGGTTACCAGCGCCTTACCTTAGAACCGGACCGCATTCGCATTTCTCCGAGGAACGCAGCGCGCGACCCCCTTAGCTGCTTCCATCCCGTCCCCCGTAACGGTTACCAGCTCGCGACTGGACCAGCGAAGCCATTTCGCGGGAGGCGTTTTGAGCCGCCCAGGCCGGCGAATCAGGCGATCAGCTTGCTTGCGAAAGCGTAGCTCGGCTTGAGTTTGTGCTTGCGACCGACCCTCCTTTCTCTCCGCAACTCTCGCGCGCTCCATTGCTGGCTGTCGCGCGCATAGCTCCGCTCTCTCTCTCGAGGAGGCAGGAGGCAGGAGGCAGGGGCGAAGGCGGCTTTCCAATGACGGGCCGCTCACCGCTGCGGCACCAACGGCTGCCGCCAAACTTGCCGCGTAGCCCGGCGAGGGACGTTTCGAGGCCCTTGCTGCATGCAGGCCGTGGGTCAACGGCCCTGGACCCGTCGATAGCTTCTGCCGCATTTCGGTCGCCGCTGGTGGTGCTGCTGACGGTGGTCATCGTCGCCAGCTGCGGAGGCGGTAGCTCCATCGTGCGACAGTCGCCCGTCGCATTCGTCGCAGCACGGTCGCTGCTCATGCCTCAACGTGAGTTGCAACTTCCTCCCTCCCTAAGCCCCGTCTCTCGCCTGTTGGGCTTTCGTAATTAAAAAACTTGTCAGACTTCGGCGTCGCATCACGCGGCCCTGCTGCCGTGCTGCCGTCATGCCGTGCTGCCGTCATGCCGTCATGCCGTGCTGCCGTGCTGCCGTCATGCCGTGCTACCGTCATGCCGGGCTGCCGTCATGCCGTGCTGCCGTCATGCCGTGCTGCTGCGCTTGGTTCACTTATCGTCGGGCAAGCACTCGACACGACTCTATTCACATCTATCTTCAATGTCCGTGGCTCCGCGTGACCCACCGTTCACTCCCCTCTCACTCCCCTCTCACTCCCCTCTCACTCCCCTCTCACTCCCCTCTCACTCCCCTCTCACTCCCCTCTCACTCCCCTCTCACTCCCCTCTCACTCCACTCTCACTCCCCTCTCACTCCCCTCTCACTCCCCTCTCACTCCCCTCACACACTCTCAAGTGGCCCGTGTATGAAAAATCTGTGGTCCCCTCACACGCACTCTCGTTCGCCTCACAGCTTTTCCCCTGCGCTCTCTCCCCGTCCTCTTGCCTCTTTCCCTCCCCTCTCTCCACCCCCTCGCTCCCTTTCCTATCTTTCCAGCCAATTCAGCCAATGAGGAGCCACCCGCCTCCCCTGCGCCCGCATCCGGACCAGCACCAGGCGCCGAGCCTAGCAGCACCGGCATCAATGGCAGCAATGCCAACAGCAGCAACAGCAGCGGCAGTGGCAGCGGGAGCAGCGCGCCTTTCAACGCGAGCACAGTGGACAGCATCAGGCGCGGGTACGACTTCTCTTGCCTCTTCAAGGACGTCGTCAGCTCCGACTGCCGCGGCAAGTCCGTCAGCCCCTGGGCGGTCATGACCTCCGTGATTATCTTCACTATAATCGGCCTCATTATAGGCGTGCCCCTCTGCATCTGCTACCGTAACGGGCAGTGCGCGCAGAGAAAGCTTTTCTCGTGCTGCTGCCCGCAGCGATTTGAAGAGGAGTTGGAGGAGCAGGAGGCGAAGAGAAAGGCTAAGCTGGCTGAACCAAGGCCGTGGGAATTGCAAACGCCAGGGGCGAAATCCGCTCTGAAGAGCAGCAGCAGGGAGGAGGAGGTGGATGAGGACGATGATAGCGACTGGGTGAACGAAGACGAGGACCTGGAGTGCGGCCGGGGGAGGGGCAGCAGCCGGGAAGAGAAGGTGCCTATAACGCGGACAAGGAGCTCGCAGGGAGGCGCAGGAGCGGGAGTGCCACGGGCAGCATCAACTGCTTCGTCGGCATCCGGCGTGCCAAGAAGCGCATCGGGAGCGTCAGCCGCATCAGGTGGGGGGAGAGGTGTGAGTGCGGGCAGAGGGAGGGGAGGCGGAGGGAGAGGGAGAGGGAGAGGGATGGGGAGGGGAAGGGGGAGAGGGGTGCCGCGGGCCATGTCAGCGCAGGCGGCAGTGCCTCGGACACTATCTGGCCAGGGTGCAGTGGCAGGGAGGGGGCTTGGGGGCGGGCAGGGCGTGCCAAGGGCGGTGTCTGCAGAAGCAGGCATGGATGGTGGAGGGGGGAACATTCAGAGGACCCTGTCTGGGCAGGCAGGGGCAGCAGGAGCAGCTGGGAGAGGGGATGGGCTGACTCGGGCGGGTCCCAGAAGCACCATGAGTGGCATGGGAGGCGGTGAGAGAGGGGGGAGGGAGTACTATGGTGGGAGGCGAGATGAGGATGAGGATGAGGAGGATATGGGAGAGGGGGTGGAGTATGAGTATGATGAGATTGACATAGAGTCGCCTGTGAGGCAAGGGCATGGTGCTCATGGCAGCATGCGTCAGCCGGGCCATGCAGCAACAGCATCAGCAGCAGAATCATCTAACTATGGCACTTCATACAGCCATGGCAGGAGCGGCAGCGGTGCTGCCATCCGCCAACCCCCTCGCCACATGCCTGCACCCACACGTGACTACGATGACGAGGATTCAGACCCGGATGATGTGGAGCAGTTTACACCTGTCACGGGGGCACGTCAGCAGGGAAGGTACGGGCAGCACGAGTATGAATATGACTCGGGTCCGGGGAGTGGAAGGGGAGCGGGAAGTGGTCGGGGGTTAGGGGGTAGACAGGAGGCAAGGAGACCACTGCACTTGAAAAGGGGTGATGAGAGATATGATTCAGATGAGTCGGAGGATCTCTATGATGACTGACACGAGCTAGAGCGTAGGATGTTTTATTAACATTTGATAAAGGACAAGGATTCTTTGCGCAAGCTTCCTTTGCGGAGTTTTTGAACGTTTCTGCTACGCTGACACCAGGGTCTCAGCTAGGATTTAGGGCTGTCTTAGAATCAGACGGGGTTTCAAAGTTTGGTCTGACCATCAGACGAAAATTTTAGGGGAGTCTGACATTTCACATGAAATTTTAAAGCCCGACCGGCAGGTTGCATAAAGGTACTGTTTAAGTAGGTGGGGCTGGGCGGCAGGTTACGACTGGTTGACGAGGAAAAAGATAAGCGAAATGTTTTTTGCGAAACTTCATATTCGTCCACCTCGTGCTTGCGCGGGAGTTCCCAAGGGCAACGCAACCTGGCAGAGGTGTAAGGTTTGAGCCCCGTCATTTGGCAGGGGACTCACACCTGCCTCTTTGCCATGTTGCAAGGGGGGTTTTCGTGCCTGCGTTTTTGCGCTAATAGCCTGTTAGAAGGCTAGCTTAGCTAGGAAGCTAGGAAAGGCATGAGATTTAGCTAGGAGGAGTCATGGAGTGGCGTGAGGTTTAGGAAGGAGAAAAGTTGATGAGAGAAAAGAGAGTTACGAAAGAAGAGAGGGGGATACAAGGAGGGATATTGTACCCCTTACAGTAATGTTCAGTAACATCTAATCTACCAAGCCTATACATTATATAACTCAATATATAATTTTAACACACCCCCTAGGCTTGGTAGTCACATGCCCACACACACCCACACCCCCTAACCTAGCACCCCCATTCCAAGCATCAGCCACGTCTACTCCGGTGGGGCCAGCCCCCACGGCCCGTGAGATGGCGATGGCGACAACCACGACAGTGACGAGAGCGGCGGCGGCGGCGGCGTGCGGCGGCAACGGCCTGCGGCAACGGCGGCGGCGGCGGCGACTTCAACATCAGAGGCGACTGCAGCGGCCCCCGCCCTTTCGGCGGCATGGCCAGTCTCGACGGCGATGGGGGCCCCCACGTGCTAGGCGTCGGCTGTGGCGAGGAGGGGACGCAGGGGAAGGAGGGCATCTGGCGTGCGGGCGGTGGCGACGTCACAGGCGTCGCGACTCGCGCGGTCGGCTGCGGCCCGACGGCGCCGTCACAGAGCGGCGTCGATGCCGCAGCGGGATGTCGACGCTGCGACGGCAGCACGACGGCCCGACACCACGGCAGCGCGTCGACACGGCCGCGGCACGACGCGGCCAGCGGCATCACGACACCGCCACTGCAACAAAACGCGGCCGCCATGGCCGCGCGAGCGAACGAGAGTGAGGAGTACGCGGCGGAAGCGTGAGAAGGCGGTCCAGCAGGGAGGAACTGCTCTAATGCCATGTTAGAAGGCTAGCTAAGCTAGGAAGCTAGGAAAGGCATGAGGTTTAGCTAGGAGAAGCCATGGAGTGGCGTGAGGTTTAGGAAGGAGAAAAGTTGAGGAAAGAAAAGAGAGTTAGGAAAGAAGAGAGGGGGATACAAGAAGGGGTGTTGTACCCCCTACAGTAATGTTCAGTAACATCTAATCTACCAAGCCTACACATTATATAACTCAATACATAATTTTAACAAAGCCCACATCGTTTTTTTTTTTGCTAGGGCAAGTTGAAAGGAAACGAGACTCAACTACTGGGCTTCGGTTTCGCCCTTGTGCAATCAAACACACATTGGTACACTTGCGCTAAACCGTCTGAAAGTCAAAAATTGTTTGAGTAATTACCCTTTGAGCACACTTTGTAATTGTTCACCTCGATACTTGGCAGAGACGCAAGGTTGCCAAGTTTGTCGAGGCACAGCGTTGAGATGTTTGAGTCTCGTCAACCACTGCTGCGGGTGGGTTCGGTTACAGGTTGCATCTTGAGAAAAAAGAGAGTTGCAACCTGCTGATCGGGCTTTAACACGTCTGAATATTCATACGAGAATTTTCCGCAGGATCAGACGAGTGCAATTTCGACATAGATTTTTTAGGTTCCGTCAAGGGCCCGATCTATTTGTGTTCTAACAGACTAATGTATCCTTAGTATCCAACATATCCTTGTATGTTGTTATAGACTACACAAGGTTGTGCCATAGAGAGTACAACCCACTAGGTTATATTCCATAATATGCCATGTTTCTAGTCATACGTTAACTTTGATATGGTGTCATGAGTAGGTTAGGTCCCCCCGCTCACCAACGCTTCCGCCGTAGGTCCTAACCGCACCGTCGCCCTCCCGCCCATGCTGGCCCGTTCCCTAGTGGCTGCCGTCACCTAGTGCCTAGCTGGCCCCGTTGCCCAGCCGGCCCTGTCGCCTAGCTGGCCCCGTCGCCTAGCCGGCCCCGTCGCCTAGCCTGTCCCGTCGCCTAGCCTGTCTCGTTACCTAGCCAGTCCCGTCCCCTAGGCGGCCCCATCGCCTAGCCAGCCCCGTCGCCTAGCCGGCCCCGTCGCCTAGCCGGTCCTGTCACCCAGCCGGCCCCGTCGCCTAGCCGGCCCTGTCGCCCAGCCGGCCCAGTCGCCTAGCCGGCCCCGTCGCCTAGTCGGCCCCGTCGCCCGGCCGGCCCTGTTGCCAAGCCGGTCCCGTCGCCTGGCCGGCCCTGTCGCCTAGCCGGCCTCGTCGCCTAGCCAGCCCCGTTGCCCAGCCGGTCGCGTTGCCCAGCCGGTCCCGTCGCCAAACCGGCCCCATCGCCTAGCCGGCCCCGTTGCCCGGCCGGCCCCGTCGCGTAGCCGGTCCCGTCGCCCGGCCGGCCCCGTCGCCCAGCCGGTCCCGTCGCCTAGCCAGCCCCCTCGCCTAGCCGGCCCCATCACCCAGCCGGCCCCATCGCCTAGCCAGTCCCGTCGCCTAGCTAGCCCCGTCACCTAGCCGGCCCCGTCGCCTAGCCGGCCCCGTCGGCCAGCCGGCCCCGTCGCCCAGCCGGTCTCCTCGCCAAGCCGGCCCCGACGCCTTGCCGGCCCGTCGCCAAGCTGGGCCCGTCGCCAAGCTGGCCCCGACGCCTAGCCGGCCCCGTCGGCCAGACGGCCCCGTTGCCCAGCCGGCAACGCCACCTAGCCAGTCCCGTCGCCTAGCCGGCCCCGTCGCGTAGCCGGCCCCGTCGCCCAGCCGGCCCCGTCGCCTAGCAGGTCCCGTCGCCTAGCCAGCCCCGTCGCCTAGCTGGTCCCGTCGCCCAGACGGCCCCGTCGCCTAGCCGGTCCAGTCGCATAGCTGGCCCCGTCGCCTAGCGGCTCCGTCTTCTAGCCGGCCCAGTCGCCCAGCCGGCCCCGTCGCCTAGCTGACCCCGAAGCCTAGCCGGCCTCATCGCCTAGCTGGTCCCGTCGCCTAGCCGGCCCCGTTGCTCGGCCGGTCCTGTCGCCCGGCCGGCCCCGTCGCCTAGCCGGCCCCGTCGCCTAGCCGGCCCTGTCGCCCAGCCGGCCCCGTCGCCTAGCCGGCCCCGTCGCCCAGCCGGCCCCGTCGCCTAGCCGGTCCCGTCACCTAGCCGGCCCCCTCACCTAGCCGGACCCGTCGCCCAGCTGGCCACGTCGCCTAGCTGGTCCCGTTGCCTAGCCGGCCCCGTCGCCTAGCTGGTCCCGTCGCCTAGCCGGCCCCGACGCCCAGCCAGCCCCGTGGCCTAACAAGCCCCGTCGCCTAGCCAGCCCCGTCGCCCAGCCGGCCCGGTCACCCGGCCGGCCCCGTTGCCTGGCCGACCCCGTTGCCTGGCCGACCCCGTTGCCTGGCCGGTCGCATTGCCTAGCCGGCCCCGTCGCCCAGCCGGCCCCATTGCCCAGCCGGCTCCGTCGCCTAGCTGGCCCCGTTGCCTAGCCGGCCCTGTCGCCTAGCCGGCCCCGTCGCCTATCCGGCCCCGTCGCCTAGCCGGCCCCATCGCACAGTCGGCCTCGTCGCCCAGCCGGCCCCGTCGCCTAGCCGGCCCCGTCGCCCATCCGGCCCCGTCGCCTAGCCCCCCCCCCCCCCACCCGTCTCCTAGCCGCGTAGCCGGCCCCGTCGCCTCGCCGCCCGCAGCCCCGTCTTCCAGCCCGCCACGCGGCCCCTGTTGACCAGCTGCCCAGCCTCCTCGCGGCCCCGTCCCTCAGCTGCCCCTGCGGCTCCCACCTAGCATCATCGGCCCTTTCCACCGCACTGCACCGCCCTGCACCGCACTACACTACCCTGCACCGCACTGCACCGCCCTGTACCGCACTGCACCGCCCTGCACCGCCTTTCACCGCACTGCACTGCATTGCACCGCACCCTTCCGTACCGCACCTCACTCTACCGCATTCTACCACACTACACCGCACCGCCCCGCACACCACTGCATCTCGCCGCACTCTGTCGCTCAGCACAGCCCACTACTGCCTTTCTGCTGCTGTAGCGACCATGATGGTGGACTCAGTTCTGCGCTTTGACGCGGAGGGTCAGACGGTTGAGTTCGACACGTGGCTCGTCGACCTCTGCCGTCACCTCACTGGTCAGCAGCAAAACGGCCACTCCCTGGTCGTCCACATCGATGGTATGCTCCCCTGCCCTGACCCCCCTTTTGCTCTACCCGCTGACCCCACGTCTGCTGACCGTGAGTCCGCTGCCGCTGCTGACCTTGCCCGTGCTGTCTGGTTGTCGCGTGACACTGTCGCACATCTCGCGATTAATCATGCCCTCCCCCTGTTTGAGCGCCCCTGCTTTAGGTCGGTCAAGATTGCGCAGGAGTTCCTAGAGGCTGTTCTCACGCGCTATTCCACCCCGCCCTATGCCTCTAGCGTGATTGGTTCCTATTACCCCTTGTTGTCTAGTGTAGCTGTGCCTAGTTCAGGCTCCCCTGCTGCGTCAGGCGTAGGATCCACCCTCGCTCCTCCGACCCCTGCCGCCACTGCCGTGCTCTCCTTCACCCTGGACTCTGGCGCTTCCCGGTGTTTCTTTCGGGACTCCACTACGCTTACGCCGCTTGCCGCTCCCCCCGAAGTTGCCCTTGCAGACCCTTCCTCAGGTCCTGTAGTGGCCCGTAGCTCCATCACCCTTCCCTATTCGACGGTTCCTTCGAGCTCCCTTACAGGCCTATACATCCCCTCGTTCTCTAGGAACCTAGTTGGTGTCGCCTGCCTCTAGGATCTTGCCGTCACCACTACGTTCCCTGGTCACGAGCGTTACGCTGTTTATACCGAGGCCGCCACTGGTGCTCCCCTCACCACGTTCCCCCGGGACCTGGTGTTTGGCCTGTTCACGCT